ACTTTACCTCGGTCGACATATTTATATACATCGGCTCTTTTTGTTTCAACTGTCCGGTAAAAGGCACGTCGACGGGGCGCGACAATTGTATCGCCACATGGCGCGATTTGAAGCCCTCGAAAGGGCAGATGGTGCGACTCGAAGGGTTCCCGCTGTTGTGACACCATTGTTTCTGTCCCGCGTAGCTGCCCGCGAGCGCATTGTATTAGATAAAGAATTATGATACACATATCGAAAAAGTAAGTAAATGCACGCAATGTATTTCAACGCTTATGTCAAAACGTGGGAATCGGAACGAGCGTAAAGCGCCCTTTCCCTCGTTTACCTAACGGATCGGAGATCTTTTGGAATCCAAACAGCGATACCGAGGCTTGCGTAAGAAAATTATAAGCTGTAGGAAAGTCTTATTTCGATTTACCCCAGGACCGAGACAAAACTTGAACGCGGATATATTTCAAATGAGATAAAATCTCGCTGCAACGTTAAAAAGAACAATTTTTGAAGCTCGCAAAGTCTGGCAAGAGTCTCATTGGACGTAATTCGTTGGATGATTGAATATTCGATCTCTTGAAGTCACGTCTCGAATCGAACATTTTGTATTTTCGAAGCCGTGTGCTCAGCGTATTTCGAACGCAATGTAGGGGTATATCCGTGTGGAATCGGCCGGTCCGGTTCGGGCCGTCGTCGTTGGGCCATACCAACATGATTGGGAAACTTGAATCTCTCATCCGGCTCTTCTTCTATTCCGTGCTCTTTTGGCTTTCAACGTTTTCCTTTTCGTATATTTCACGTTTTCTTCGATTCATTCTCCCATTTTGTTCCGTTAAAAGTACGCTAATTTCAACGTTTTCATACGTTCCACACGTACATGTTCGTTAGGTTGCCAATGCTGGGCCCTGGGAATGCACGATAGCTTTGTCCCTCTTCGTCTTTCTCGCGCCGCTAGTTCTCTCATCTCTCTCGTGCCCGCGTACCCCAACTCCCCTCGCCTCCTCCTGCTCCTCTTCCTTTCCCCTCTAACCTCAACAACGCAGCTACCTCTCCACTGCCTCTGTCTCCCTCGATTACCTCGTCTCTCTCGCTCGCGCGTCTTATTGACCCGGACCCGGTTCTCTTCTCCTCTCTCTTCGATTCGCGCGCCGGGTTACCCGCCGCCTCACGACGGTAAGGGTTATCAGGGGGGAGGAGAGAGAGAGGTGGGTGGTGGAGGAGAGGAGAGGAGGAGGAGGAAACACGGAGCAACGGGAGAGAGACGGGGAGGACAGGTCCGACGCACAGGTCCCGCGATATACATTTTCATTTCATCTTCCTGGCGCGCTATCGGAGACAGAGAAAGGTAGAAAGAAAGAGGAAAAAAGAAAGTAGCAGCGCGAGCGCGCTCTGAGGAAGAAGGGATCGAGAAAAATTTCGGCCATTCCCCTTGAAGCGCGTCGATCGGCCGGCTTTTTTATCAAGTTCGCGCGAGCGAATCGGAATTTGCGCGATTCGCGACTTCGCTCGCGAGAAAAAAAGAACATGAGGACTGCACGTTGTGGGAGCAGTGTGAGCGTTACATTCCTGCGGTTATGTATCGATAAAGAGATAATGAGGGTTACATATGACGAAAAAATTAGCGCGCATCCTTGAACGAATAGCACGGCGAATTGATAAAACCAATTGTAGGGCCCTTGAATCGCAATAATACATTCTCTACTAAAAACCGACTAGTATAGAGATATTTGAACGAGAAAGGAATTTCGACCGGTATTGAACGAGCCGTTTGAAGCGGTGACTTAAAAAAAACATGATTATGACAGAGACGTTATTATTCTCGGTGCTTATTGTAAAGGTATTTCTTTCGTGTAATGACGTCTAGTCATGGTATACGTAAATCCGGCTTTGAATCATCACATAAAGCGTGAACCGAATTTCGCGTAGTCGATTCTCGGGACACATTTCACCGTGGAACGTGAAATTTCATCGCTATCCGAAGGTTCTTCCGTATCGACCGACAAAGAGAGCGACCCGGTCGTCGCCGGTCGGTAATGATAGCGGGCGCGCGTCCACGTCCACGTCCTCGTCCTCGTCCTCGTCCTCGTCCTCGTCGCGCGTTCACGTTACGAGCGGAAAAAGGACGTAAAGCGGCAGTCGCGAAAAGTAGGAAGCGTCCGATGTGGGGCAAATTCCAGCGAGCTAGCGAGAGCGTAGCAGCGTAGCGAAACTAAGAAGAAAAAAGAGAAGAGAGAGGCAACAGAAGAAAGAGCATGCAATGACGACGACGACGAGGAGTCAGCCAGTCGGTCGCGATAGATGTGTCTCTTTTTTTCCTTCTCTTTCCGCATGCTTCTCTTTCTCTGCCTAAAAGTTGACCTCGAGTTTCAAGGGTAGAGAAGGGTTCGCAGTCGTTTCTGCGCCTCGCGTTTGCCCCCTTCCCCTCCGCTCGTATCTTACTGAGGGACCGTACGGCGAGTCGCGCGCGCGGCTCTCGAATTCTCTACGAACGGAGAGAGAACGGAAGAGGAGAAAGCAACGTTGCCTGTAGCGCGACGGCAGTAGACTCCCGCCATCCCCACCGGCGGTATAACGCCGTTCGATTGGCCGGTACGCTTAGGTTCTCCTTTGTGAGCGGGCGGGTGAAAGCGTGCTTGGCAACGTCGCGAGAGTTTGCCGGCGTCCGCTGGAAGGAAGGCTGAACTAGCACGAGTGTGAGAGAGTGAGAATGAGAAAGAAAGAGAGAGAAACATATATATATATAAACAGAGAGGGAGGGAGAGAGAAAGAAGGACAGAGAGCGAACGAGACACCCGGCAGAGGGGCGTGGGGAGAACGATAGGGAAAAGACAGAGAGGGAGTGATTGAAAGAAAGATAGACAGATAGACGAGGAAAGAGAGGAAGAGAGATCGTATGAGCGCGTCCAAGCGGTCCGTTCTCCTCGCCAGGTTCGCCCTCTGTGTGTGCGACGTCGCGTGTAGTGACTCGGTAGAGGCGAGAGAGAAGCGAGTCTCGCGCGCGCGTACGCTTCTCCAATGTGAAAAAGCTATTGCTACACTAATACTCTGCTACTACTACTACTACTATACTACTATTACTACTACTACTACTACTACTACTACTACTACTACTACTAAGTCGCTATTACTACTAATACCACTACTCTATCGCCACCATCGTCATCGTTAGCGGCGTGCTCATCGGATGTGCCGGCGTCGCTTTGCTTCGCGTTGCGTCGCGTCCCGCCAAACCGAACCGAACCGAACCAAACCAAACCAAATCAAGCCGAGTCGCGCGGAGCCGTGTGTGCGTGTTTATAACGCGCTGAACAGGAACACCGGCGTCCCGCGGACGCGCGTGACGCGTCTCCCGCGTCACGCTTAGGCGCCGCAGAGTTCGTCGTCGGAAAACGCTGTTGCGTTGCTGTTGCTGCTGCTGCTGCTGCTCCTCGACATTGTATCAAGGACGCGGTGTGTACACCCGTATCCTTGCGTCGGCGCCGCCGTCGCCGCCACCGCCGCCGCTGGAAGAAGGAACCACCGTCGAATAAGCGAGTTTCGCCGCGGGACGGTGTACGGTAGAGAGAGAAAGCAAGACAGGACTGGTGGGTTAAATAAAGA